CCTAACTTTACGTCTTTTCTTTCTTATTTAAGTTGATAATACACTTTCTGGGTATTCTTCTTTGATTAATAAAATTATTTGATTACCTATAAAAAAAAAAAAAGAGAGAGATTTATATGTTGCACATTTTGCTTGAGCACATTTGAGATCTGCTTTACAAGATAAATTTTCATCTCGCTCTTTCAGAATTGCTCCCTGCAGGAAGGATTTTATTTTAATTTTCAAGCTGTCAGAGTGGGAATTTATAGGGCTATATATATTGCAATATTCATGAGTGTGGAAACATTACCTTTCTATGATGATCTTTTTTTTGGTAATACGTTTAGTGTTCTAGTGTAGACTGTTTACTTTCTCAGTCAGTCTTCAGTTTCGTGGGACTGTTTTTACTTCTTTGTGCATAGGATTTCAAGCATGTGTCTTCTCCTGTATCATGTATTGGTCAAGAGGGGAAATTGGAAGGGAAAAATCAATATGCTATGTGTTACATGGGCAAGACTTGAACTTGTTACACATGCGAATTTCTTAGCACTCTGTTTAAGAATAATGATATTTCTTGCTAGTGCGTATGTTGTGAAAATCCTTATTCTAAAGTTTACTGTTTACTATTTCACACATTCTTCTGCTAGAGAGTAATTCAGCACACCTTTTCTTTAACCCCTAATTAAGGGATTGTCGCTTGTGCTGTTTAACTTTGATTATTTTTCTTTTTAATATTTCACTTCTACGGTTTTTTTATAGGCTTGCTATCCAGAGGTTAGAGATTGCAAAGAATGATCTGCGAAACAGGATTGCGAAAGAGGTAGTTTTTTTACTGTAACGAGCATGCTTACCAAATTATGTCACCAGGGTAATGTTTGTGAATATGATTTATTTTCCGTCTTTGTTAGGCAAGAGGAAATGCAATTTTGCAAGCTAGCTTGCAGAGACGGAAGCAAGCTTTGCACGAGCGTCGTTTGGCACTTGAACAAGATGTATGTGTTGGTTATACTTGTTTAAATTTTAGCTATTTTTTCCCAAATGCTTTTCAACCATCCCATATTAAGCGAGTTCTATTTTTCAGTGCTCTTTAGTTTAGCCACTGCACTTGCAAAAGATATATTTCTGTAACAGTTTTTATATTTATTACAGTATATCATCCAATTTTTTTGTGAATAATGACCTTATTGGTAGCCTGTAGGTCACATTAAAGTGTGCTTCTTATGCGTTTAATGTCCAACTTTTGTGGTCCTTTGGCACTTTAATTCCTTGAAAAGGGGTTTGCAGTACACGACTACACGTACATCCTCGTCCCCCTACCCTGAATATATTGATCTAGTGTTTGCAGACTTATCCCTTGTTCTGTTATAGGTTGCAAGACTACAAGAACAGTTGCAAGCTGAGAGAGATTTACGGGCTGCATTGGAAGTTGGCTTGAGCATGTCTTCTGGACAGGTTTCGGGATCTGATGGGATGAATTCCAAGGTTTGTATCACTTATTATATCTCTCAGTTATCCTACAATTTCGTGGAATGTCTGATATGTTTTGTATTCTATGCAGACGAGGGCTGAGCTTGAAGAGATAGCTCTTGCTGAAGCAGATGTGGCCAGATTGAAGCAGAAAGTTGCTGAACTTCATCATCAGCTTAGTCAGCAACGTCAGCATCACTATGGCAACCTCCCCGATGCATCCGGTCCCTATCAACGAGCCACGAATCAGAGTCCTCAGCAGTGAGTCAAAAGCTCATTATATCATCTTATGATGCTGTCAGTCGTTTATGGAATTCGATGGTTCCTTTAGTGCATTTTAACTATGTTCTTATCCCACCAAAGTACTTGGCATATCAGTGATTTAGGTAGAAAACAACTGTGAACATAGTTTACAAGATAAATGAAATGTAGAAATGCCCAAGATTTGCGGCATGGTCTAGTGAGTTTACTGAATATCAAGGGGTGGCTTGCGTCATAAGATGATATGCTTGACTGAAACTTTTTTTCCCCTTCTTGCAGTCCCACCATATTCACTATATTGTTATGCAGCATTACTTGCAAGAAGATACCTTTACTGTGGACATATGATTCTCTGTAGCAAACAACTCATCAAGAATTAGTGCATCAGCTGTTCTCAAATTAGAGGGGAACTAAATAATTTATGCCTTTTTATTGAAATTGACTATTATTATTTCCCTTCTAGCATGCCAAAAAATTCTGGCCCGCTATATTAAATTTTCTTCTTTGAACAACGTTTACATGCTTGTACACTTCTACAGATCTAAAACAAAACATGCCACGACATTTAGCTTTGTTCAATCCATCTAGAATGAATCACGTGAATCCAACACTTTCTGTTCAAAAGACATATATGATGGTTAAATTAATTAATTTCAGTGGTTGAGGAGTAAGCCATTCGATTCACTCTAAGTTACAATTTGATTTAGTGTTCGTTTATTAGATGTTCTCAATCTGGGGTTGAAAAAGCTTACTCTTTTTTCCCTTCAGGAGATATTTCCAGCATGATTTTGACACAAAGCTTGCTTTCTGTAACCATGAAAGGCAACAAAGAACTGAGGTGAGTGCCTTGTCAATCTTTTTATTTTTTTCCATGCCTTGTTAAACTGTGACGCATTGCATTATCTGGGAATCCATATGCCTTCTATTTTATGATAGGGAATTTACAGAAGTTGCCTTTTATATAGGGTGTGGTTACAGTTTACATTCGTTGTATTCGGAAATTACTATTTACATACTACTTTTTATAAGAATTAACAAATAACATATTCCATTATCTGTCGAAATAAATCGGAAAAAGTTTATAAAACATATCCCCGTGCATAAGGTTTGTTCCCTTCACATACCTTGTTTATATCTGTTGCGCCAGTTTTTCCCTTTTTTTGAACATCTGTTGCATAAGGTTAGTTACACTTTACATTCCTTATTTTTATATATTACTATTTACATACTGCTATTTCATAAGCACTAAAATAACATTTTTCGCTATGTCCAAAAAAAAAAAAAGGAAAAATTACAATTACTTGTTAACAACAAAAAGCTACTTACAGGTAAGACAATCTTGTTAAAAAGAAAAATATATGATATAGCAGTATGTAATTTGTAATTTTTGAAAAAACGGAGTGTAAAGTGTAATTACGCCCTATATACAACATATGCTTTGTAATTTTGTCCCTTTTTTGGGATGGTGCATCCAAGCATTTGATTACATTTTCTATCCGACTCAGATCTTGTCCTCACTTGTTATCTTGTCCTCAATTGTTACAGGAATTGGTAGGAGCAGATCTGAGAAATATTAGAGGACAAATATTAACATCTGGCAGCAGTAGTAGACGACCTGCTCGGCATCAGTTCATGGATTCAACAGGTTTGAGTGATTATAAAAGTACTGGGGCATCCAAGAGTTCTTATGTGGACAACCTTTCTTATGTTGATTCTGCAGCCATACCTTCCACATCTAGAGCAGCGGAGGTAGGTTTCAAGTTACGAACATATTTTATCCGATCTTAAAAAGTTCAATTAGAAGTGGTGGATACCAGTATGAAATAGATTTTAAAATAAATAATTGTTAAATTAGTCAAAGTTGGAAGTAAGTTACTTATTTTGAGAGCAAGGTAAGAGTTACTTTCAGAGAAACTTTTATAATTTGTAAGGAAATAGTTACATATCCAAACATGTTTACTTCGTTTTGTGTGGATTTTATTTATATGGTTTTGTCTGCGGCCCATTGAACAAGGGGTGTTTAGCATCAACTTTCTTCTTCGTTTAGAATACTTACTAAAATTTTACGATGCGTGTATCAATTGACACGTTGTGACTAGAATCTATGATGAAACTTTTTGATCCTAAAAATTCTATAATGTGCTGCAGGTGATAGATTATCCTGGACATCCGTCAGCAGCAGCATCCACTTTGGTTGAATTGACAACACGCCTTGATTTTTTCAAGGAAAGGAGGTCTCAGTTGATGGAACAACTCCATAGCCTCGATTTAAACTATGAATCTTCACAAGATTGTATGTATAAATCATCGTCTCTTAAGTGGAACTGAACATGGTTTCTTCTCAGGCGTACCAAGAGGAGATACTGAAGTCGTGACCTTGTATATTCTTTGTCCCCATTAGTATATAGTCGTATTTCATATTTGTCAGTTCATATTCTGTTTTTGTTTCACATTTTTGCGGAGAATGCAATTGGCATCTAGGCTCCGTGATTCTTATCAACTATATTAACTTTTAAGTTGCCCAACTCTGTGTAATAATTAATATGACATTATGTTATATGTATGGAAAGTAGTCGAGCATTTTGGTTGAATGAAACATGCTCAATGTCTGTTTTGTCAAGACACTGTTAAGGATCATAAATTCCATATATCTTGCGGTTAATGCTTCTGTTTTTTGTACAAGACGACTTTCTGAGTGAATCACCTTGAGTTATGTTCCTCTAAAAACTCTTAAATAAACTCTCTCTAAAAGTTACTTTAACTAGTCAAAAGGTCTTTTAATTAGACAGCACATAAATTATCTAAGTAAACTCCAAAGCAAAGCACTTTCACTAAATTATCCAAATAGGTTCCAAAGCAGCTTCTTGATTTTGACTTTCTAAAAGCTCTGCGAAACATGTCTTAATGTTCTGAGACCTTGAGGAATTAACAAAAGCTTATATATAATCAGTACACACGATATTCTGGGTATTTCAGAAAATCCTGACTAATAAAAGAGAGGTGACTCAATATAATAGAAAGCTTCAAGAAAAGGCATAATGAAAAAAAACAAATTCCAAAGGTACTTCTGTATACAAAGAATATCAAAATTCATCATTTTGCCATTAAGAGGTGTCTGTTTGACAATAAACATTTCTTCTATCTGGTATTGTTCTCCGTCTAACATGTAAGTGTATGTATAGTCTTTGTGACGGCCACCAAAACAAGTCGATCCATAAACTGTCGTTAATCTTCGTAAGATGTCAAAGTTTGAAGATTTTCCTCCAATCTCAGCCGGTAGTTATTCTGTGTCCCATCCAGGAATGTTCGCAGTAGCCTCATTCACCGCCTTCACAAGTCTTACCTGTACACGAACACATAATCAATGAACACATAGCAAATCATTTTCTTCTTTTCGTTTTATGTAATTAATTCCGCGTAAGCAACCGCATATGCTTACTACTACTACTTGCTTCGATGGACTGAACATGAGTTCGAATAACCTAAAATACTGCTAAGTGCATGTTTGGCAAAGCTTAAATTGTAGCTTAAGCTGGTCGAATATACTTTTTATCCACACTTTTTGTAAAAGCAGAACTGTCACCTACTTATTATCCACACATTCCCATAGGACCCACTACTTATAATCACTGAAAAGTCCTCTTGGACATGCATTCAACATGATAACTGATGGCATACTTTAACGCATGAATTACTGGCATTGTATTACTAATAGTAAAAATAGCTAATTTGAATCGGGAAAGAGAGTCTTATTATATATGGGAGAGTTGATCGAGCCACTTGATTCATCCATCTTATAGAGTAGATTTTGGATCCATAAACTCGAGCACAAAAACATAGAGATGCATTGAAGTTCAGAACAGAACAGGTGACAAAAGGTTACGACTTACGATTACAATAAAAAGTAATACGTACCACACTTTCAGGAATGCCTGGAGGGGGCAGCGGGAGATTTCTTGGCGGAGGACCACGAAGATAAGATCTCTTGTCAAATCTCCATTCTCCAATTTTCCCATAAGTTAACTCTCCCTGTTAAATTGCCCAAGTTTAACAAATCATAAGCATTATATAAATGCAACTTCATTACAAAAAATACTCCAAAGCCAAAGAACACGCAAAAATTACGAGTGCATTATTTTAGTATAAATTGGTTACCTTCATGCTGTAATCACATCCATAGGTATAATGGATGATGAACTTCTTGCCAATTTCTGTATCCCAAGGGGGCTAAAGATACAAATGATACATGTTAATCATTGAGAGATTTATGGAAATTCATTGAAGATAAGGAGATTCCAACATATAATCATGCATACCTGTAACATGAAGTCTTTGCGAAGAATGTGCCGCACGCCATGCAAAGCAGATGCAACTGCATATGCATACCTATTGTACAAACAAATGTCAGCCAGATGAACAGCCATTTACAACTGACCAAATTCACGTGTTAAAAAGATTCCAAGAGCACTTGCATTTCTAAAACCCAACCAAAAGCTTTATCAGTCTCTGGGTCATCTTTCATCCGCAAGGACACATTCATCCATGTAGGCGCAATTTTCTCCAGAATTGCCTGGAACAATTCGATTGGTCAACACGCTGTGAAAGGTAACTTCCTCGAGGCAATTGCATAATGTATGAAGGCTACATAGCATAAAATAACAGCAATGATCAATGACATTGAGATTTCGTGAAATTTTTTAATAGGGCTCTCTCTATAAAGACTGGCTAGATTGATATCCCTGCTACCCTAAAAAGGTTTTTAAACCAAAATGGCAGATGTGTGTTCCGCAAGAATAGGCAACTGGGTTAATATTCACACGACTGTTAGTGAATTTATCGGTTTGATTGGGTTTACCAGAAAGAGACCATTATACCCCTCACTCAGTTCATAAGTACCATTTTAACAATCAAATAACAAACAAAAGATATATATACATAAATAAATTCTAAAGAACATGACTTAGCAAAGACAAAATGAAAAAGATAAAAGATGCGATAAGTCATTACCAATCTCTACATCTTTTCATTTCTCCACCCACTTGTTTGTTTGACGGATAGAAATAAGGAGGGTGGCTTCAAATACTTGGAGGTTGATTGCTTAGAAGATAGTGGAGGTACGGCGAGATAAACTATAAATCAGCATTTATGTCTGTGCAGTATTGGGTTTTGGTTCTCGATCCTATATTTATTTTCCCTTCTTCTATAGTCTTTGCCTCTTCTATTTTTAATTGTTCTCTAAATTATACCATCCATTGACTAGGGCTAATCATAGACAGTGAATGTAAAATGCCTAGTTAGATTGACAGCATTGTATCTTTCAAGAAAGAGAGTGCCTATCCCTAGAATCACTAGAGGAATAACAATATTTTCACATAAGCAGGAAATAAGCGTGAGAACTACTACACCTTACTTTACATCTTCCCAACATTATGTACTTATGGTATGTTTGTTAAGGCGTAGTAGAAAGCACATGATAGTATTAAGAAAGCAAAAGAAAAATCAATTGCAACCACATCAAACAAGTCACTTAGATCACATTTATAAACCAAAGACTCTACCTTCTTGATGATTACTGGAGAATTGCCAATTGGATCAACATTGGACACAGGACCTTTTTCTTCAGAATAGAATTTTCTTATGATTTTATCGTTCTCAGCCGGTTTTATATAGAAAAAAGGGAATGCAGCTGGATGTTCTCCATGAGCCAAATTTGGCAAAGGATTTACGAATATGTGGTCAGGTTCTGCCATTAGAATGTATCTGCATCAGTGATAGCAAGAGCTAGGATTTAGATTATATAGCATTGCAGATGGAAAAGGCTTCTCAGGCTTAATCATAAGATACATACTCTTCCTGAATAGTTGCTTTCTCCAGCCATTGCACAAATGCCCAGGGTCTATTTAAAACAATGTAACCCTGTTCACCACATTCAAACATGATGCAATGCAAAGTAAGACATCTTTAGAAGTGGAAGAGAAAGCTTTGCAAGGAAAATTATTCTCACATAGAAAACTTGGAAGCAGAGACAGTGGAAATTAAAGCATTGGATCACCCATTTATGCTTTAATTTTAAATCCAAACATGTCCAAGAAGACTGAACAGAGGGCCGTTTGATAGGACATTACATTTTTTCAGTACCCTTTATTCATAACATGGACTCATCATCTTGTTAACATATCAGTAAACATGTCTTCCATTTACTAATTACTAAACAGTAAATATTTGGTTGTAGTAAAGACATTAGTTTCTTAGTTCAATAATGGTAACTAAAAAAATGAGTCAGGATAATACGTTGCCTTTTAAGAAAAATGGGTCAACTCAATCAGCCCCAGCCAAGCCACATAGCAGTCTCATAAGAGCCAGAAGCTCCATGAAACTGAGCAGAAAAGGCTGGAAGTGCATTTGGATAATTTATGGCCCACTGAATATAGAGCAACAACTTACTTTTTGGATGAGGAACTTGTAGAACAAAAAGGGAAATTATAAGGTTACTTTCTATAAGAACTGAAAGAATCCCATAATTCATTAAGCCCTCCAGTGTTATGCTCTCTCTGATGAGTTGAAACAGGAACTTTGGGCTTGCAATATGCACCAAAACTTCAACTTTCTAATTCCCATGCCTACAGCTATTTGATATTCTCTAAGTCATATGTCTGAGAAAATATGTTGATAATCTCCTAATATCCAAAAATCTCAGTCTCCAGTGAATGTCTAGCATTCACAAGATGCTGCAAAATAACACAAACTATTGTCCGGCATATTTATGACAAAGTGTTTTTTGTGGTTCATGGGATTGGTTCAGTATTTGAGCTTTATGCACCATATTCCAAAATTCAGAAGTTCACAAATTAAAGTAATTGCAGGTGTAATATAGTCAATGCTCACCCGATCAAGCCCCTCAGGAAGAGGATCGACAACAACAGTAGGAATTTCCTTCATCAAATTATCCGGTTTTCCAGAATGCAACACCCGAGTAAATCCTCCCATGTCTGATCCGTACACATCTTTCATCTTTTTATACCAATAGTACATAATCCGACATTGCCATTTGCTATAAGGCGCATCAGTAGCCGTCAAAGCAACATGGAATTTCGGGCCGCCCTCCCACTTCTTCACCTCATCAGGCATCCCAGTAACAGGATCATACAATTCGTCTGAACCACTATGACTATACTTTTGGTGCATTAACAGAGTTAACAAATTATATGTTGCGAAGAAAAACCCAAAAGCTAATAACACCAACAGAAAAGTTGAACGCCCCATATTTCTCTTCGCAATCATCTATCTTATATTGATACTATAAAGCACCAATTCTAATATTTTTTTCAAAGTCAACCCCCAACCAAATTGCTCTATCTAGACATTTAAAGATATAAACAAAGCCAACTCTTTAATTCCTTCTATTCACCAGTCCCAAAACTCAGTTTTAGAATAAAAATTACACCTTCAGCACTTGCAAAACTTGGCCTGTCAATCAAAAAATAACAAGGACATAAAAATAATTCCTGGGCTTCAATAGTATATAAATACAATGTATATAAAGAAAATTAAAGTCCAAAAGCTGATGCAAAATCTTAGTGTTCAGTACAAAATATGAACTGCAAATAAAATCACAAGCAAATGAATCATTTAAGCAAAATAAATATAAAAACCAAAATAAACATTTACATGCATACATTCACGAGCTATATACATATATAAGATCGTTTATGAAATTCACACTACAATAAGATCATTCGATGGAGATCTCTTAAAAAAATGAAATTGGAAACAACAGATCTAAGAATATACCAATGGAGCAGAAGATGGGCATTATTGGAAAATCCCAAAAACCGAAAAACTGGATTCTAGAGAGAGAGAGAGAGAGAGTATGATGTCAAAGTTGTCCGACACTGGCTTTAGCCTTTAGGCGGAGATTTATTCAGAATATATGTGTCCAATGGATTGTTCACGTCTCCAGCAGGACTTTGAAACTAAAGTCGCTTGCAAGAGGAATGCGACTTCTATTCATTTATAGACCCAATCTCAAGTGATGAAAATTAGAGCAGCACTCCCCAATCTTTTCAGGTAGTGCAGAATCAACTTTCTAACCTTCAAAACTAAGATTTCAACTCTTCAATCTATTTAAAGTTGGAAAATTGAGTTCCCATACGACGAAAATCGATATTGTGGAAGTTAAAATCGCTTATTGACTTTCACAATAAAATCAAGAGATTTTACGAATTTGCCCTCATGCTTTAATTCATGTGATAGTTAACTACAATATTAATATCTGCATTGTCATTTTTTATCGTGTGGAGATATAATCTCACGATGTTAAATAGATTGAGAAGTCAAATCTCACGTCTAAAAGTTGATGAACAATTTCTGCACTACTTCAACGGTTGAGATATTCTATCCTAAAATTTCCATCTAAAAACTAGTAAGGTTGGACTCCCAACAATTAAAAACGAGCAAGTTAGACGTCAATGCCATTTATTATTGTTTATAGTTGCATAATCAGTCAATTTTCAATAACAAACTATCCAAATTGTCTCGTGAGCTTCACATAAACATGCCCTAATTTAAATTTATGAGCACCACCACATTGAGAAGAGAAATCTAGCCTTTTTAAAGGTGAATATATGAGGATCACTTGATGATTAACATATATTCAGAGAATTTTTTATTGCCAGAGACTGATTATGCAATGATAGGAAAATGTTGGGGGCTAGCTTCTTTACTTTGAAAGGTTGAAAATCAATTTGTTATTCAGGTGATAAGTTGAGGACTAATAGTGAAATTTCCTCCTGAGATTGATTGGTATGTAAACGTCCTTCTCACGAAAAGAAAAAATAAAAATAAAAAATAACTCGAAATTTGTCCAAGTTAGAATATTTTTTTTAAAAAAAAATTATTCGTTGATTTTGATTGAAAGGTTCAGATTTGGACTCAAGTTATCAATTTTAATTGTAATGAAAATCCTCAAAATTTGTTAATTTTTGCACTATTTTTGTCAATTTTTTTATCTTTTAACCTTCAATTAATTAATACAACTCGTCTTTGATAATATTTTTTGTCCAAATATTATGTTAACGTCTTTTGAAATGAGCAGCAAATATTTTGTAAAACTTTCGTATTTATTATTATTTTTTCTTATTTATAAATTGAGGGAAAATAAGTCTTTTTGTCCACACATATTTCTTGAACTTTCAAATATACTAATTAAGGAAAGTTGGAGATGACAATGTGATGAAATTGAGAATATAAGTATGATAATAAGCGGAGGTTGGGGGTCTTTATTACCATTAAAATGTGAGACGGTAAATAAAATTGTGGAGTGAATATAAGTACCATTTATTAATGACATGCATGTATATGAGAAGGGTAAGAGATGTGAAATCTCATCCATACATTTTAAGCCTAAAAGATAATATATAATAATATATATAATATAATATATTAAATATCACATCAAGTGAGAATCATTTATGGACGATTTCAACCCTACTAAATTTCAATTATATTATATTAATGCCTTGATTTTAATTTTCCAATATGTAATAAATATTATAAAATCCTTGTCATGTATGAATTTCATGTTATTAATTTTCAATTAATTAACATTCACATTAATTTAGACTCAATGAATCTTGATTAATATGAATCTAGAGTTATTACAGATGTATTTATTTTTATTCATGTATCTAGAAATTTCAATATGTGTTTAAATTCATGTATTAACAATTAATTCCTATGTATCAAATGTAGTATAAAAAAATTACTCATTTGTAGAATTTCATCATCAAGAAAAAATTGAATAATAGAAGTTGAATTTTGAGAGTACAATTTTCTTCTCTTAAATTTTCGTTGACGTCGAAAATTGTATGAACAAGATTCAAGTCAACTTAAAATGGAAATAAGAGTTTTATTGATAACGACTTGCAAATTATAATTATAACTACAAATGGTTACTATTTTTCCTCAAGGAGATATTTAAAACATGAAGTATTTTGAGTTTTTCCCCCCCTCCTTCTCTAAGACTCCCATTCTTCCTTTTATAGGGAAGGGTTAACATGCACTCATCATTTTTTTGTCTTATCAGCTACAGTACCGAACTAAGAAAATACATTATTGGCATGTTTGGATTGATAAACGAGATCGACTTGTCAGGTCATCATGAGTTTAACATTACAGGCGATCTCCAACAATTAATAAATTACTTAGGGGAGAAAGCTAAAGCATATGATTGGTAGACTTGGCGGATGCTGATGTAAGGCCTTTCATATATCACCCGTTAATTGAGGGTTTGTATAATGTGTAAAAAACCTTCAATCATTATGTCTCCTTAAACTTAGATAAATTACATAAACCGAGCTGACCTCACATATCCGAACTCGTATTAGTATGAGTTTAATGCAGATAACCAACTGTATTTAATGAACTCGGAGGTCGGACGCCAACAATTTCTATCCTAAATTTTATTTTCCTTAGTTCGTTTCAGACCATCAAATCCTCCAAACAAATTGATATCAAATATTACTTTTACAGCACTTATAAGTATTTCAGAATAACATGCAGTGCACGTTCAACTCTGACTAGTATATTAAAAATCACATTAAGTGGGAATTATTTTTTTTGGACGATTATAACCTTATTACAATTCAATTATTTCAAAAATACTTAACTTTTCGTTTTTCAATATGTATTTAATTTACAAACTGTAATAAATACTACAAAATTCTTGTTCATGCACGTCTTCTTTGTTATTAATTCTTAATTAATTAATATTCACATTCATTTAATTAATATTAATTAGAATTTTGCATTCATATTCACGTCCATGTCCCTATTATTAATTCTCAATTAATTATCATACAAATTCATTTAATTAATATTAATTAAAATTTTACATTCAAGAATATAGTTCATTCAACATTCACGTTAATTCATATATCATATTTATCATTCATCTCCATTATGTATTTAGTTGTAATTCTAATATTTACGTTCAATTACGCATTTCACTATTTACGTGTATGTATAATAACTAATATTTATTTTCAGGGGCCTGCATTTATCTCATATTTAGATCAAAATGGTAAATGAATTGTAAAAATAACGTGCAACGTACATTCAACTCTGACTAGTATATAAAAATGTATAATTTCAAGTCAACTTACTTGTAACAATATTACATTAAAAAATTGATAAATTAATAGCTTCACTTTAATAATAAAAATTAATAAATTAATGAAAGCATGTGTCATATCCTTTAGCACCGGACGAATGTATAAAATAATTATTGAATAAATACATGAAATTCACAATGCACATTAATGAACTTTTTGCTTGAAATTTCTATATTCTTGAGTTAACTATTTCCGAAATATGCATATAAGTTATACGATTTATTTTTAACTAAAATCAAACTCAATTTCATCCCTACTTTTTTACAGCATAATATTTGATATTATCCTAAAAAATTCTTTTAGAGAAAGAACTGATAAAAGTTGTCATTGTTGTTTTCCGTTGTTAAGATTCAACATCTTCATATAATCGAATCAACTTGTAATTCAAAGTAAATATTTTTGTGATTGAAATGTGCAATGCTGGTTTTCTGTGTCCACATGACCTTATGAACATCTTGTTAGATATTTATACAACAAATATAATATGTGAAAGAAATAAGTAATTCAAATGAAGTGGCCAATTGGTGAAAAGTATGGAACTTGTGAGGGAGGTCGAGGGTTCGAGTCACACCTCACGCATTATTTTTTAATCATTTTCTGAATTATTTAATGGGTCAATTAACCAGTAAAATATGACGTTTTTAACTGTCCAGTATTAACAACTCATTACCATTAACCATAAAAATTACAAATAATACTGGATCATGGTCGAGGTAGTTACATCATTTTTCTGCCTATATAAACAAACATTTGGGCATTAGAAAATCATCACAATACGAAATTATATCTTCATATTTCAGTAAAATATTATACTCAATTTTATACATATTTTCTGGAGTACATTTAAGACCTCTGAAAATCATTTGTGATTGTTGAACAATTGGTTTATTTGGTCGTTGTATTCTGGAGGTAATTGTCCACGGAGATCGCAGCAGTTATCGACTATCAATTTTGCTTTAGGACATTGTGCTGTCACGAGACTCGATCAGTCGATAAGTTTTTATTTATGCACTTTACTGTTGTAGTCAAGCATGGGAGAGAAGAAGTAATTTCTCTTATATTATAATAATCCCTAATATCAATATATATACAAGCTATTTACATTATTTATAGGAGAAGTCCCTATAAATGAGATACTACCAATTAGGGTCACATATATTTAACACTTCACCTCAAGTTGGAGTATATATATTAATTATGCCCAACTTATTACAAAGATAATTAACCCGAACCCCATTTAGAGTTTTCGTGAAGATATCTCCTAATTATTCTCCAATCTTCACATACCCTGTAGAAATTAAACATTACTGAATCTTCTCACGAACGAAATGACAATCAATCTCAATGTGTTTTGTTCTCTTCAAGCTGTGAGCCAAGGAAGCAAGCAAGCTCTCAGATATACTCACCGACCAACTTTAAAAAAAAAAATTAATTAATTTGGGGTTAAAAGTAAGTAAAATTTGTTATATCAAGATAATCCAACAACAATCCATAATATAACATTTTAATCATATATTCCACCGACCCTGAACATTTCAACATCACATTTCATTAACTTTATCAAAATTTATTAAAAAACAGATTTTTAGCTATACCAAATAAGGGCTAAATGTACAAATAATACCTTTTTAACACATGACGAAAAAACATATTAGGACGATACAACAATAATATTACGTTCTGGGAAAAACAGATAAGACCAGCATGATACTACTACATGTTACAAGTTATTCTGAAGAATCTGCATCATCACAAGTCATATTAAATCAAGCTAAGTAATACTATCTTCTTCAATAAAACACAAATAAAAACAGGCGTATCGCTATTTGATTCGATGATCTCAGTAACATCTCGGGAAGTACGGGCTAGCTCTAAGTTCGAGTCCCTCTGCTAGAAAAAAGCCCGACTGCCATAAAAAACCCTGGAATTGTCCTTTTTCTTCTTATCAATTTCAATGTTCTTGTTAGGGTGTTGAATAACATCACCTTGATTGTCAATTTCAGGTTTATCTAAAGCCATTGGGAGCTTCATTTTGGCCAAAGATTCAGTAAATTGTTGCATACTCCTCATGTACATATCAACTATCTGCTGCTGCATTGCTGATTCTTCTGCCTCAATATCCGTATTTCTTGAATGAGTTGAGACTAAATTAGGCTCATTTTCTTCCTTTTTTTCGCTCTTCTTCTTTGATGTTGGAGTTTCTGGATGAGAACCGAACCTTGGATTGGCTTCTGCTGTTATAATCAAAGCAACATTCGGCGAATTTGAGGTATCATCGCTCAAACTTGTCATCGTAGAGCTGAGAAAACCAGAGTTCTGAATGCTTCCACTGGGAGAAACTGAATCAGCCCGGTACTCCTCAGAAGAATCAGCAGCCATTTCGTAGTCCTCGAGTGGGAGATTCGGGGCAGACCCAAGTTGAAGAAATGAACCATCAGGCATTTCAGGCCATGGCCTCAGAAGGGTTCCGGGCTTTGCCAAGCAAAAATATTCTGAAACCATTTGCTGGTTTTCACTGACTACATTAATATCAGGAAATTCTATACTGGAATACTCTTCTGGGATCTTTTTATCGACTAAAAGATCAGAAGTTTTGGACGAATGGGCAATCGAATCAGATAAAGAATTTACAGAGGGATTTAGGGGAGCATTTTGATTTGCAGTCAAAGACAGAGATAATTTAATAGTACCAGCTGGGCAGGGAAACAAATCAGTAGAAGACAGGCTAAAATCTTGAGTCACCTTTCCTTTTCCAATAACTAAAGATGTTGGGACCAAGGCGAATCCAAGAAGCTGATCATCCATGAAATTCTTAGCCCTGCTAAGCATCCATATTTCGCATTTGAGAACCGCGTCAATCTGGTTGATTTTCATGATCAAATCCTCATTGAATTCAGGATTCTTCCCTCCACCTTTGATGATCCTGGTTGACAGAGTCTCGTCCGGATTATAGGTGAGAGAGAACTTTGCATAAACATCTTGGTTGTTATAGATACATATGTTATGAATATTCCTAGCATGATGAACATGGATTTCAAGAATCCCAGTAAAATCTGCATCCCTATCTGGATTCACAGTTGGGTTGTAGATGAATCGAGGGACTTTATCGAAAGAATCCATGTTAATAAATCAAAATTCTGAAATTCTACAGATTAATATTTCAGAATAGTTGAATTTAAGAATCTTGACTCTAGATGACAATGGAAAGAGATATCCAGCAAATTAAGAAACAGAGGCAAACAAAATAAATGAAAACAATGTACTTGAGGTAAATATATCTGAATCCATATGTTTACTTGAATAGGGCTTTAATGAGTTCTAATATGCAACATCAAGCAGTTCCACTTTCACGCTCCAATCTTTCCCAAGAAATTCACTCTTAGAATGACAAGCAGGTCGAGATTCAAAGAAGTCCCTTCTAAAGATCAATCTCTTGTACACAACCTGGACGAAAAAACATGGGATTAGCATACACGTTGTCTCTGTGTGTGCACACACGCGCGTGTGAGTGTGTGTGTGTGTGTGTGTGTGAGAGAGAGAGAGAGAGAGAGAGAGAGACTTACAGTGAAAGCTCAGGATAATTCAACAAGTGCAAGTTGATAAGTAGGGGGTTAGCAGTAGGTGAGAAAGAATGGAAAATAGAAGAATCATAAGGGTGGATGATGATGTTAGTTGGTAAAGATGGTGATTTTTCTTTGCTTGACAATTCAACTTCTTCCACTCCTAGTGATAAAAATTCGCTCCACTTTGGGTGGATAGACCCCACTAGGACCCATCTTCATCATCAAACTCTCCTCCATGCTTTCCATAATTTCAAGACCATAATTTTTTTTGTCCACTATCTTTTTGGACAACTGTTTAATATTGATTGTGCAAATGCACAAAACCTCAACATTTCTCATGTCAAGACAATTGAACATTGACTGCATGTATCATGAGTATAAGACGATACAACGTAGTCCAGCAACATATAATTGACCTTACCAAATATGACCTCAGGCACTCCAAACCCATGTTATATCCTACATAACAAATTCCATATGAAGAAACGGCTGAATTTAATTTTATTTGCATAATTAACAATCTTAGCTTCATGAGGCTCTTTGAATGTATAACAGGAAACCAAGAAATCTACAAGGGCATGTTTGGTGCGGACATGGAATTGAATAGGGCTTAACAGTACAACGTACAAGATTTTAGTGTCTTTTTCCTATGTCCACTACTATTAGACCCTAGCTACAAACATGCCTAAATTCTTGCATTTTTGGGGTGGAATCGAGAGCCAGCTAGCATCACACTAGTACCAATTGTTTTTAGCATAAAATTCCAACTTTCAATCCAAAGTTTAGAAAGACTAGGCTTGGCGACCTAGGCTCTGTCCACCAAACGAATATCAAATATCTCTGTTGGTATGAATCTATCAATCTTAAAATGGTGACATGAAGAGGTGTCTATATTAGAAATAATTTAAACAAGCAATTAATATAAAGTACTTGAGCAATTTATTCTTGATGGGTACAGCAGGGACAATATACAAGATACAGCCCATTTTTGCAAGTAAACCTATGCATCTACGATCCTTATTTCTGAAAGTCAATGAAATACTTTATACAACGTGTCTGGTCCCGGGCTCCGAGAAGCTTGTTCACTTAGCCAGACTTATGACCTAACTTCATCAAATGTCGTTCATGCTTCGCTGCAGCAGCCTTGTCAGCAGCTTCCCGTTTCAACGCCCTTTTCGCACGTCGGCCAACTATTTCTTTAGCAGTCTCTTTCCTTTTAGGCTGATGAGATGGACCAGCACCTGAATCCTGGAAGTTCAGCCTATGAATTGGTCTTGCTTCTTGCCGTCCACCCCTAACATATCCATTGTCTCCCCATCTCCGGTTACCAATGCGGCGACTTGAGGAACTGCCAAAGTAAACATCATCCAGATCTTCTTCCTCATCATCTTCCTCGTAATAATGATAATCTTCCACTTCAACAACCACCTCCTCTTGATCCACCACAACCAAAGGCTTGAACCATGAGGCCCCTAGAAGAAGCAATACACTCTCCTCGAACATATAACGGTGAACGCTGCTCATATTCGAACAATTATGTAAGATGGAAAGTAAAAGAAACTAGAAAGGCACAATATTCAAGCTCTTACATCTTGCATTCCAAAAAAGACCATCCCTCTTCCAAGTAATTTCATAATTTTCTTCTAAATATTTTTTTTTAAAGTCTAATCCAAAAACACTTATTACTATTCATCCATGATTTGAGTTGAAATATGTGACACCAATATTATCTATACGGATTCAACTATGTATCATCTGTTATTATATATTCCTGAAACATCGCAACCACTAAGATATGTATAAAGAAGCCCTCTATTCATTAGTCACCTTTTTCTTTGTTTAACTTGGATACTTATCAAATATCCAAGTTGCAGTTTTATCAGACATAAATCGCATTACATCCAATGATAAACAGTAAATTTGGTACGAGAGAATCGTATTACCATGCTTAACGACTCCGTAAAATGATCGTAATACAAATCAAAGGGGGTTCAATTTTCAACCAGCACAAATCCTAAAATAATTTGTGCCAGCAGCCGCTCAATAACAATAATTACACAAACAAAATTTCACTGATTAGTCAATTAAGGATGAAGATTGTCGTAGGCATTGCCGAGCTCAGCGAAATGGAAAAGGAAGCTGGAAATTGAGTGAAGTGCTGAAATACCTTCCATCAAGTGAGCGATGGATATTCAGAAATTCAAATGGATTTTTACACTGAGGGCACAAAGGTTCCTCCTTGTAAGAGGCCCACTGCAGGATGCATGTTATGCTGAACAAAAAACAAGAAGTCAATTCAAATCCTAAGGACTTGCTACCCACTGTCAATTATATATTCAAAAAAATGCACTCAAATGCAAACAAAATAATATTCTAACTGGAATATACAAAATGATACATCCAAAATAATTCATTGATCGACATACAGTAACTACCTAGTAGATCGTCATATTCATAAATACATGCAAAACATTTTGCTCTGAATATGCCAACCACTCTGGCCAAATAAGCAAGAAAACTTTTTGTTAATTATAATAAGCAAACAAAGCTTTTGTACTCTACTATAGATCTCAAATGAATAAACATGGAAAAATAGTGGTAAATGCACTAAACATACCTAAAAAATGTATTTAATGAATGAAGTTCGACATGTAGTTCTTACAAAGTAACAGCCAGAGGGACATGCTCAAAATACAAAACACAGAAGAAACAGATGAAACCTAATCGCTCATATTTTGACTATGTAAGTTGTAACAATCGAACGTGAGAATTAGAATGGTGAGTCACTAATAAAGTCAATATGTTCTAATTTTCCCCGAAATAGGTTGCTTTTTTTCCCTCTTTTGTGGGACCAAGGGTGATACAATGATTGGAAAGGTTTTGAGTCGGTGATGTATCTAACTCAAAAAAAATATACCAGGAAGGAAATTTGTCATATAAGTGGTATGGGCTCAGTAACGCCTCTAACACAACTTTATCTGCACTAGCAAACACAAGAATATCAAGAATGCAAGTAAATAAATAGGAGATTCAGACAAACCAGTAGGCATGCTCGCAACCTTTTACAAGAGCTGTTTCTAGAAGAGCTATCTTATCCAAACATATTGCACAGATCCCATGATGATTAATGTTATTAATATTGTTAGTCTCACACCCAGCTTGATGAATTTCCTCCTCTGGTGGTGCTGTACAATTCCCCTTCACTTCACTCTGAAATTACAAATTCAATTCAATCAATTCACAAAACCAATCTAAATTTTGGTCTTTTGAGTAGAACTGAAAACTTTCAAAAGGGGAAAGGAACTTCAATAGATAAAAGCATTTTGAGTTTCATAAACACTGACAACTAGTAATCTAATGATATTGATACAGCTAGCTTATGGTTTACAGGGAAAATGTATAGCAGAATTCAGCAAAATCAATTTTGTATTCCTAGAAGACTGATCAACTAATATATGTCGACACAGGATTGGGAGGCGGATATCCACTCTCTATATTCATAGTGATCATTTTTTATCCTAAGAATACTGCTTAGTAAAGCAATAAACTCTACATCTTGATCACTCTCTTAAACGGGATCAAGAGAGAGCCAAAATCAGATACGCCCAAACCAAGACTGGTCAACTAACTAATGTCTGTAGGAAAACATATTTTGACATCGAGAAATAGAAAGAGAAAAAAAATCAAATCTCCATTCGAAAATTCTCGTATTTGAAATTAGAGAAAAAACCCTAATCTTCATTTGATCTCAGTCAATATATGAAGCAAATGCATATCTTGTCAAGCAAAATTAGCATAAAACCTTTTCCCACAATTCACGCGATCAAATGTAGAAAGAAAAAAAGAGAATTAAACAAATGGACACCAAATCAAACATTAATAAAACTACAAAACAAAAATTTCCAGATTTTTTCTCTCCAATTACCCAAAAAAGGGGGGTAAAAATTAAAAACAAACAAAGTGAAAACCTCATTCTGGATCGAGAGATTTTGAACGTCATTGATCAGTTGCTGACCAATCATTTCAACTGCTGCAGACATGATATTTTTTCTAATGTACAAGGCAAAAATCTAAACTGTAACGATGAATTATATACAGAATTTTGGTTTATTTAAAGAAATACAAAATGAAGAATTATAAATAGAGAGAGATTCTGGAGAATTATGCTGATTCCAAATAGAAATAGAGGCGGGCTGATATGGATCACGTAACAATTACCAGAATATATTTTTCATTTTTCTTATTCTAAAAAACATAAAAAAATCAAATTTTTTTTTTTTTTTTTCAGAGGGGCGGACAGTTTGGTTCGATTCGAGATGGACCAAATTGGACCAAAATCGGTTTGTTCTGGTTCAGTGCGATCTGATTCTTTTTTTTAAAAAATTTAGGGCACGTGCTCTTTGTCGTTTTCGGACCGTTTTCTGTTTTCGATTTTTCAAAACGGTGAACACACGTTCTCTTTCGTATTTTCGAAAACACGTTTTTGAAAACGAAAAAAATTTTTATACACAAAACACCAAAATGAGGAAAAAGTCATTTTGGACGTTTTCAATACAAAACTCGTAGAAATTGCAAAACACGGGAAACGGCTGTTTCCAAACAGTAACACCTTCGATCCCAATTCACAGTTCAATGTCTTCCTCTTCTTCCAATCAATACTTCCCTCTTCTTCCAATCCTTCCTTCTCTCTGGACGCTGACTTCTCTCTTGTCGATACCCACGAAGGAGATCCTTCGATGCCGACGCCGACGCCGACGTGGGGAGGCGACTCTTTTGTGAACGCAGCATAGCGATCGCTGTGGTTTGGGCCCATCTCTGCCTCCTCTCTCTTCGACGCTGGAGAGCCATTCAATTTTGTATGTCTAGCCTTTTCCTCGAGTAAGAAATTGAATTCTCCCTCTACAATATATTATGCTCAATTTGGGGACAGCTTGATCATCATAAAGTTGAAATTCTTCGAGGATCCACCTTTCCGCGGCCATCCTCTCTCTAATTTCTCTCATGAATAGATAATAATTCCTCATAGCAAAGAAAAATAATCCATTATTGCAGGATAAAAGAACAAGAAGCGATTTCACGGTGATTTCACGTAACCTCATTAATAAACTAGCATATTTTTGCGACTCCACAGTCCTCTCCGATTGCGGATAGGCCTATGTCATACCAGAGTTTAGGGTTTTCAGATCTGAACTTTGACAATAAGTCAAAACAAATCCCCTTATTCTTTTTTTCTCGAATTGGGGTTTTATACAAATAATATCAATTCTCATATATTTTCTTGTTGAAGAAGTGACGTGAGGTATTGGAGGCAATACAATTGGAGAAATCTGAGCTGCCAATGCAATTTGATTCAATGAAATTGTTGGTTATTTCTGTGGGTTTCTTGGGAGACCGAAAAAATTGAATTCTTATTTTGAGCTCATCAATGTCTTGGGCAGACCCGGAAGATATTTACCTCTCTACTTCTCTTGCCAGTTACCTTGACAGTAAGTTTCTTTTATTCAGTACTTTTTTGATATTTTGCTATTATGTTGTAAAGTTGGAGTGGTAATTGGATATTTCTTGATATTTGAATCAAAATTTTGCTCTTTTTAGGCAGCTGAAAATTTTATTTTATTGTATACGTGCCAATTGTTCTTGAAGTCATTAGGTTGTGGAATTTGCAATTCAGCCATATTTGTGTTACGGAATTGAATTTTAGTTTTTCTTTTATGGGTGTACTGGGGTGTGTTCCTAATGGAGATTTTGACACATGGGGAGTGGATGCTAATTTCAGCTGTATGCCTTTGTAAGCCTATATGTAAATGGTAATATATTCATGTTTTGGATTAGTTGTTTCCATGGTTTTCGCATTGGTTGCCCTTTTATGCTGTATTGTTTTAGATATAAAGCTTTTTCTGGAAAAAAAAGAGTTAAGATATCCTCAATCTGTAAGCTCAGATTCACCTATTTATTATAATTTAACGATTTGAACTGAGTGTTGGATAAGGTGATTGGAGTTTATGACTTTGAACTGAGTGTTGGATAAGGTGATTGGAGTTGATGGAATTTTGTCTATCCTATTTTTTTTGGAGGGATCATTACTTTGAATGAAACTCTTGATTGAAAAAAAATGCCAACTGAGTCGCTGAGGTCCAAGGAATGGATAAAACATGTAGATGTGATGTTCTTTTTGTGGGTTGAGGTAGTAATATGAGATTACGTTTATATGCAGGATACTCAGGTGT